CAATCTGCTGGCCAGTCATGGTGAGATGCGATGCCTGTAATAGTGGCGTGTCGATTAATGAGGATGGGAGCCCTTGAATGACAGCACTTCATCGAATCATGCCTACTGCGGACTCACAACTGGAGCACATCGTAGATCTGAGCAATTAAGCCGTTACTTCAAGCATATACTAGGAAAGTCGAGCTGACCCTGCTCATTTGAAGGATGTTGCAATAAGTCAAGAAGACATGCGTGGAGCGTACCAAGCAACGCCAGTACTTGAACACCTCATGTATTTTAACCCCTCTTGTTGCCAAATGCGCGACACACGACCGTTTCTCAAGTCAGCATACCATATCTCCGCTTCTCAGTCCAATACTCTAACCAGCGAGATTTCGATGATTTCCGGAAACCGGTCATGTCTGAACGAGGAGTACAGGACGTGCTATATATACCTTTGAGACTACAAGTGTACTAAGTGGAATAAGGAGACGGAAATGTTACCACATGCCAGATGTGGGACAGAATTTTTGATGATTGTTGGGGCGCGAGCTCTTTCAGACTTGTAGTTCGATTGGTCAGGAGTGATCCTTTTCCATCGTAGGTAAATGTCAATGAAACATGGGTTACGGAGACCGTCTGACCAACACTACACGAGGAAATGCATGTGGTATTGCCTTGTTATGTACCCCAGATCTTTTGAGCCTTGGTAGTGCAGCATTTTTGACCAGAACTGTATGGAGTGCCTGGGACTTTACGGATCAGCGACCGCCCGCACCTCTAGAACAGCCCTCCAGCTTGAGCCTTTGCATGCAACGAGGACATTTCTTGTAAAGCTTCAGGCTTGCAGCAACCCACGTTAGTAATATACAGTCAACCACTTGTCATGGGCCCACTAAGCCTTCTTGCAGGCAATGACAAAACTTTGGAGCGCAAGGTGCATACCAAGAACGATAGGTTGTACGCCCATGACTTATTGTCGCAAGGACTCTGAAGCTTGTGCAGACAACAGTGCACGACTTGTCTTAGCACCGTTGTTCAAAAGTTGTGAATACTCTCAACTTTACAACTCTGAAAGAAGAATCATACGACACGCAAGCTGCAAGCCTCTTCATCATTGGCACACCTCAGCCGGAATCTTTCCCTACTCTCCGCTCCATCTGTGCATGACCCAGTGCGAAGGGAATGACGAACCCAGGACAAGAAAATTCATGGTGACACTGCAGTCCTGCACGGTAGTGTTTTGTGCAATACCGAATCAATCTACGTCTGCGCCATGTGGCCTGGACAAGCGCCATACTCTCGACACGCTTCTCCACATTTTAGGGCTTCTTCGGAAGCTTCAAGATACTGAGGGGCTCATTTCTTTAGATGAAAAGAAAGGAGAAGGCGTGCATCGGGCAACAAGACCCCACACGCCGCACTGTACACTACCGTATGAGTTCGCATGCGGAGAATACTGAGACAGTGTCAAAGCGCGTAGCACGCGCTCTGCAGGCCATGCGTCTGCCGTGTGGTGACGTTGGACAATTAACGTGGATTCCAAAAACTCGGAACGTAGTGAGCCAGCAAAGGATTACTGGCTGGTCGGTGTTCGAGGAGTCAGCCACGATCCGGAATTGCGGCCTCTTTTAAGGAAACGGGTCATCTTCTGACAGATCGTCGCGAGCCGTTGCGGCATGCGGGCAACTGGAACCGGTTTTTCTGGGTATCGGATAGTACGTTCAAGCTTGAGTCTGCTATGCCTTGGTGCCATCATAGCCCACTCTTGGCGTCTGCTCATGGCGATGTCGGCTGCCTAGGCGTCGACCTGAGGTTGTTCGGACATGTACGTTCTCGATCAGTCAGATGGCGTGTGGCTGGCGTGAGGCTTGCATGTGGTGCACCAATTCCGTGCTGCTTTGGCTTAGAAAGAACACTGAGCTCCGTCGACTATGACCGAAATGAAACAACATGCGATGGTGGCTAAGATCGTAGCACGCGATGGAGTACGACATGCGCGCGACGGCAACTCGGAGCGCTTCCACAACCCGCCACAAGTAGAAGCGACCTACACGATCGACACGTCAGGATGTGGGGAACGTGGTAAGTAGGGGCTGACTGTTCGGGCACATGGGTATCCCTCCACTGGTTGCAGCTCGGTTGTACCCTCGAGTAACCTTCAATGCTTGCGTGCTTGTCCGTCATTTGCTAGATCTTGATAATCAGCAAACAGGGATGATCTTTGTGGTAACGACAGGGATACGAAAAGTGGATATTTGACCGTTTTGGCCCGCTGTCAGCATTTAGCCTGATAGCGGGTCGAACAGTCTTGGTAGAGGACGCGGGCGTCAGCCACATGTATATCAGGCCTATGATATAGATAGTTTGCTAGGTCGAGCAGAGTCAAACCTAGTCCCTACAATGGCGTAACATTGGGCTAAGCGATGTCAGAGTCGCAGATGACCGATGAAAGGCGTCGACTATCCTTAGCTGTGTAGAGGGTCGTCCCGAGGAAGGCTGCTTACACGCAGCATACTGTAAGGAGGTACCACAATGTTGTCGAAAAACTCTGACGAGAAGTAAGGCACATCGCAATCCCTTCGCAAGGTTATCAATCTTCACATGTCAACCTTACGTCGCGGATACCTTTATGAAGGATCCATAAGATTTGTCCCGATGTAAGAACCGTGCACCGTTGCGTTCGGCATCACCGGCGCACTACTAGCATCCTTGTATCCAGGTAGTAACTGTAGGTTCGAGCTCCCCGAAGTCGTTGCGATATCTTGGTTGGTAAAACTCTCGAAGCATTGTACTGTATCAAAGCAGTAAAGCCAGCTCAGGTAGCTGCTTTGCTAACACATGGAGTGCTAGAGTATGGTTCCGAAAGTGGCTACTAAGTCTGCGTTGGCAGGATCCGAGGGCCGCTTTAGGTCAAGTGAGCGCGCTCATGCACTTCGAGACTACCTGTTCGCAAAGTCACGAAGGACAACAGCGGTACGGCCCTAGCACCTGCAGAAACCTCCCCTTTCCGAGAAACTGGGCAGAAAGCAGTTGTCACTAATGCAGAGTGGACGCCAACTATCACACAGTGTTGTCTTTGGTCGATGAAGCTCTCTTTGTAACCAATCATGTCCTCCATAGACAATAATTGGGTTGATAATGGTTGCATAACTTTGACCTGAGCTTTTCGGTATTGGAAGCCACATCCAGACCTTCAGCCGGCCACGTTTGACTAGCCTGAGGCTACTGCAGATGTGCTGGATCGGTTTGGAAGCGTCGCGTATATCTACACAATTATGTCAATCTCACTTCGGGCGTCCGTTCGATCGAACTTTCTATCGCTATCAAAGTCGCTTTTAACAACGTTCAATTCCCTGGTTGTCGTGCTGAAAAGCTTCGGATAGATGTCAGTGATGATGGAAAGGTCAGCAGTGGTATCCCAAGATTGTATTCTAGATACGAGATGTGGCACCAACGATACCGGGATCTCGTCCCTTTGACGAGCAGTGGGCGGCATGATCTAAAGCAATTGTGCTAACACGATTGCGTCGAACACACAAGAGTCAGGCCCTAAGTTGTGCCCAGGACTTTCGGAACAGCACTTTGATGAATGGCGCACACATAATTCGTGGGGTGGTATTATAACAGACGATCGATATTGCGAATGCGAGAGCGAGTCAGCTGCGAACGCGTATGCCTGTAGTTATGCTTTTGACGGGAGTGAACTCCACATACCGATGGTAACCTACAGATACCTATAGTTACCTAGAGCTACATGTAGGGTCCTACCGGGCACCCTTGATCAGACTACGGTATAAGAACAGGTTCGTGGACCATCGGCCCTGGCCTCCTCGAGTAATTAAAGCCTTCGAGAAGCCTTCCGAAACCGTGTTTTTCTTGGATTCTAGTATTGTCATGGTGTAGGACTGTTAAGCATGCCATTCGCGCTCTTGGCCTTATGCTTAAGATGTGGGGTATGCGACAAACGCAGGGTTACCGGCAATAATCCCCAGGTTTGCCAAGGTGTAATGTCGTAGGTTAGATAGTTTATGAAACCGAACAGCTACGACAGATCCGCGAAGCCCATGCCCCACAGCAGAGTGATGTTCTGTATGGGATGAAAGTCCACTTTCACAGGTACTGCATAGGAAAGTACCTCGAAGTAGTTGAAAGTCGACGGAGTTTGCTCCGAACGCAAAGTTTTTACTTCATCGTTGTTTGAAGCTCAAAAGAGGTAAGCTTCTGAACTTAGCCGTGATCTTCCGGGAAGAGGCTGATTGCGGCAACGAAGCGCGGCGTGGGGAAACGTGGTCGTACGGAAATGAGTCCTAGCTCAGAGCGGGTCGTTATATGCGAAGTTTATATTTTAATATCTAAACATCGGTCGCACAGCTGCGAGAGACTTCTAGGTTTGATCGTGCGTTTGGCTATATCTGGTCAGACTGCAGCACATTCTCAAGAATCTTTGCATCCTGTAGCGGTAGGGTGTAGATACACTAGACTTGAATTAGTGTGATCAATAACGTAACGTGTCTTGTGGATGTCTTAAACGATGAACTATAGAGGTATACGTGATGCTGCAGCTATAGTAGTACTGTCAGAACAGCGAACTCACTAGTAGCCATCAGGTTCCTGAAAGCGCCACGCAATTGTGAGTATACAGAGTAATTTGAAGGTGATCTAGGTGAGGGCGTTCAATATGTCTCGAACCGAATAGTAAGCATCGGGGTGATTCAGACTGCGTCTGGTGATATGCCGATGTGTTGAGAAAGGGAGAGAGAGTTATGGCGTGTTTGACGAAGATTGGTGCATCGAATCTGCAGTGTCCCTGAGTGTATTGAAGACGCGACATCAGCGCGACGATGGAGCTTGGACCGCTCGGGTTTCCAGATGACGTTGTCGTACCACTGACCTAATGGCGGCCCACTACCACGTGCGCTCTCTTCATCTTCTCTTCAATATCGCTCTTCCAATCTTTCGTACATTCATCAGTTCTAATGCCTGTTTCGTGTGGCTGACTAGATGGCTCTGCCCCTGACATGTCTATGCAGGCTTGTGTGTCCAAAGAGAAGGGCGTACGTGCCAGGACAACAATGGAGTATGACCGGTCAACCTGCTGCCAACGTCACTTGGTTCTTATACTCCTATCGGTTGCCTTCTTAATTCTGTGCAGTGGGATGAGTTCACACTGGCGCCGGTACTTGGAATGCGAGCCATGTCGGAGGAGCATCGTGGCCTATCGATCGAATATGCCATCCTCGTCGAGATCGTCTTGTATTTTTTGTCTTCTCGAAGCATGTCTTTCTCTCCCTTTCCTACCAAAGTTTTCCTGGTTCTCTGCACCACACCTCTTCAAGTTTCCGTCATCCTCACATTCCATCTGCTGTTCTCGACGGATCTATTCAGCCCGCCAGACACATTCTCATCTCCGCAGGTCGCACGTCCCAATGTTAAGGGCATATTTTCGCAAAACTAGAAAGCGCCAGAACTTCTCTTACACTTATCGACCCTTTTAGGATTTGCGTCTATTGTTCCCAAATCTCCCACCGGTCTTTGAGAACGCCACAACGTCTTTTATCCACCAATCGGCTATCTACACGACGACCACGTCAAGCCACCCGTCACCAAAATTAGCATTATCTCTTCGAACTACCTTCTAGAAGAAGGATGGAATTATGCAGGGACGATCCTTAATGAGCATTGCCGGCGCTTAAAGAGATGTTGGTGGTGCAGGAAGCAGGCTTGCTTGTGGGTTTGCGGGCCGTCGAGATCTACACCACCTTTGATGACGCTATGCGTAAGATATGTACGATGAGATTATGTTGGTGGCAGATGCGCGGACGGGTAGAGGCGAAGATGGAGGATTACAATGGCTTGCAGACTGACTGCAGTCACGGAGATGAAGCGGTTCTTGGTAAAGTGAGCATTGTAAGTAGGGGAACGACCGAAAGCTTAAACAGACGTGTCGAAGAACAGGTGAGAGTTGGCGGGCTCGGCATGCCGACCTTCTGTAGCAGCTAAAGTGGTCTGTAGTTTATTTTCACCGACTGACCTATATTGGGAGGCCTTGTCGCTTCAGAGCCACAGACATTGTTATATCTTATATACATTTCATCTCCGAACCGCTAATGAGGCACTTCTTCGTCTCAGTCGCAATTTCCAACAAAAGAAGACCCCAAAATTAAACACAAAGGCGAGGGAAGAAAACTTACTAAGCACAAACAAAATGTTCATGGTGCATAAGACTAGAGCAGAAGAAGCCAAGCATCAACTGCAGCTTAAGATATGGAGGAATGCCAGTTGCGAGTGCATGAGGTCGTCTCTACCAAGGGGCATCATGTAATAAAGGGTCGCAGCCTAGGTGGTCATGACATTCGTATTCATGTAATCGAGCAAAGCAACAATGATGGCGATTAAAGAGTCTCTACGGAATCTAGATGCAAGAGACGTATGTAAACACATCATGATAGGACGGGACAGGAACAGTTCAGTGGTGTCATAACATCCGATTGAATTGTAGACAGTGTCCTGCCTCCACAACCACGGCAGATTCTCGTACTCCAAATTTGATATTTAGATTTTATTCATAACCAGACATATTGATGAGACTAGTCTATCTCATTGGATTTAGAATCAGATTGTCGATCAAGCGCACAGGTACCTGGCGACCTTCAGCATCCAACTGACCTAAATCCTCACCGTCTTGCGGATCTTCGACCGGGAGCATTTTTACCGCACCACTGAGAATGGCGCCTCTCGAATCGTCAATCTGATCAATCTCCTCCATGGTGTCAGGGTCTGCAAGACTAATATAGTCAACCTCAAACTTGGCGCGTTTGCTAGGTTCCATGTGCTCCTGCTCGAGCAGTGTCATATTGCCGTGGTCGAATGCAGGCCAGAGGACGTCGTTCCGCAGCCTCATACCATTCTTGTACTGTAGCTCTGCTTTGCGAAGCGCTTGGTTGAGAACGATGCCAACACTGCGACGTCGTGCGCCGAGATAGACATTGCGTGAAGATAGTGCAAGTCCGTCTGATTCCCTGGATGTCGGGATGATGCGCAGGCTCATGTCCAAGTGAAAGTCTTGAATCAGTCGCTTGATAACGCGGGTTTGCTGGACATCTTTCTGCCCAAAGTAGACGCGATCTGGGGCGCAGATGTTGAAGAGCTTCATGCAGACAGTTGCTACGCCGCGGAAGAAAACAGGTCTTGATGCGCCCTCTAATAGCTGGCCAAGCGGACGCATCTCAATGAAGCTCCCTACACCTGGTATGCTGCTGTCGGGTGGCAGTGTAGGGTACATGGTCTTTGTGGTTGGTGCGAAGACAGCTGTCACGCGTCCCTGGTTTGCAATCGCCAGTTCCTGGTTCAAGTTTTGCAGCACTTGCATGTCCGCCTCCCAGGTCTTCGGGTAGGATGCGAGATCCTCATTCAGTCCGAATTGTGTAGGATTCACGTAGATGGTAACGAAGACATCGGTATTCTCAGCGGCTGCGTGACGCATGAGCGAGACATGGCCCTCGTGCAGGGCACCCATGGTTGGGACAAGACCAACTGTACGATTGCCGGAGCGGAGATGTCGGCGGTAGTCTCGTAAAGGCGCGACATCGCGGAAGATGTGCGTTTGAGCTGAGGAGGGCAAGGCATTACGCAGTGACGGGCTCGTGGACAGACACCGAATGCCGTGGCTCGCAGGAACTTGCAACACACGTGACAAGCTCCTTGACACGCATCGTCGCGCTATCGGTACTGCGTAGTGTTAGTTGTTTGGTTCAATGGCGTGCGTCGAGGAGCGCACTCACCGGCTGCGTAACGGAGTGATGGCATTGCGGAGAGTTGCGGAGGTGTCGCGGACTGAGCTCTGCCTTAGTTGTGGAGTCGCGCAAAAACGGGCAAGATGCGACGACTTGTCCCTCGCAGCTTGTGAGGGGACAGAGCGCAAAGAGTCAGCGAAAAGGCAGCCATGGTGATCAAGTTGAGAAAGGTCAAGACGACTCGTTTCTGCGCTGAAGGTCCCATCATGGGAGGGAACGCCCATCTGAGCCTAGTGCCCCACTAAAAAGATCCCAGGTTCGAGATTTCCCTCTCGTGCGCAACAACACCCCGCCTTATCCACGCCCATACGCGACGACATAGCACAAGATGGCCGACGATGGCATGCTCCTCAACTTCTCCATACCAGACAGCGGCATAATTGCGAAACCGACCTTCAAAGGCGGCAACTGGAAGAGCCGGCTCACTGCGAAGAAGGCGGCACAGAACTGGCACACCAAGGCGACAGCGCGACTGAACGGCGAGGCAGTACCCAAGAAGACGGTCGAGAATGCGACAAACGTGAACCGCATAGAACTGGGCCCAAGGAAGGCACGCGTGTCCAAGAGCCCCGAATTTCACGATTCCGGCGACAGGCCCGTAAAGCGAGCGCGTGTGAGCGGAGACTTTAGGCCAAGGACAACCGAGAAGACAGACAATGCCGATTTCAGACCGCACTCGAACCCGAACCCAAACCCCACCAAGAGACCAAGTGAACAGCAGAGTGCGCCCAAGGGTGGAAAGCAGGTCATTTCCTCGCTGTTTACCTACAATCCGACATCCAAGACGAAGCCAGAAGCGAACGAACGCCGCGAAGACGATGCGCCTATCGAACCTTCAAACGCCCCACTCAGCAGCGAGCTGGACACCTTTACATCCCTCGGCATGTCCACGACGCTCGCGACGCATCTGTTGAACAAGATGGGGTTGAAGGCGCCCACTGCGATCCAAAAGGCTGCGATAACACAGCTCGTCAAAGACGATTCAGATGCCTTCATACAGGCCGAGACTGGTTCTGGAAAAACACTGGCATACCTCCTACCGATTGTGCAAAGACTCATGGAACTTTCCGCCAACATGAGAAAGCACAAAGTCGACGACAACGTACAGAGGAATTCCGGTCTCTTTGCCATCATCATGGCACCAACACGCGAGCTGAGCAAGCAAATTGCGACTGTACTAGAGAAGATTTTAGGTTGTGCGCATTGGCTTGTAGCCACCACCGTCATTGGTGGTGAGAAGAAAAAGTCTGAAAAGGCACGGTTACGCAAGGGCATCAATATCTTGGTCGCGACACCCGGTCGGTTAGTCGATCACCTGGAGCACACAGAAGCGTTGGACGTGAGCAATGTCAGATGGCTTGTCCTGGATGAAGGTGATCGCCTGATGGAGCTTGGTTTTGAGCAGGAAATTCAGAAGATTGTCGGGGCATTGAATTTGCGAATGCGCGCAAGAAAAGATGAGAATTCGAGGATACCTGGGCTGCCGGAGAAGCGTACAACAGTGCTCTGTTCCGCGACTATGAAAATGGACGTGGAGAGGCTTGGACAGATAAGTTTGAAAGACGCAGTACACATTCGAGCCGATCCGTCAGAAAAGGGACAGGAAACGGTCGAGGCCAAAGACGATCAATCTTTCTTTGCACCGGCGCAACTGAAGCAGTCCTACGCAGTGGTGGCACCGAAGCTCAGATTGGTATCCTTGATAGCCTACTTGAAGCGGGCTTTTGCACGAAAGGGATCTGTCATGAAGGCCATCGTCTTCATCTCGTGTGCCGACTCTGTCGACTTCCACTTTGACATGCTCACCAGTGAAATTGAAGGCGTCACCGAGACGAACAAGAAGGAAAGCACAGATGAAGAGGAGGGGAAGGCTGAGGAGGCAGTTGACGGCGTGGAGAAGAAGCCAAAGAACACCAAAGCGATAGCACAATCAGACCCAACCAAGCTCACAGTAACAGGTGCAGAGTCACCTGTACTCTCTGCAAAGACGCATACAGTAACAGCATACCGTCTCCACGGTTCACTCCAACAATCCGTGCGAACATCGACACTCGCTCAGTTCACGAAGAACAAGGAGCCGTCTGTCTTGATCGCTACCGACGTCGCATCTCGCGGTCTCGACCTGCCAAACGTCGACTTGGTTATCGAATTTGATCCTGCTTTCGCCAGAGAGGACCATTTGCATCGTATCGGTCGTACGGCGCGTGCGGGTCGCGACGGACGAGCTTGTATCTTCTTGATGCCCGGAACTGAAGAAGGCTACGTCGATATTCTTAAGTCGGACAGGAAAGACACCGAAGGTGGAGTTCACATTTTACGTCAAGACGCGGACGATATTCTCAACCGAGGCTTGGTAACCAGTGGAGTAATGGAGAAGAACGCCTACATGGATAAAGCTACCGACCTACAGCTCGCCGTCGAGCGCTGGGCCCTAGCCTCACCTGCTCGCCTCGAAGCCGCCCGAAGAGCTTACCAGAGCCACATTCGTGCGTACGCAACTCACGTTGCTGACGAACGTCAATATTTTGACATCAAGTCGCTCCACCTAGGTCATCTGGCCAAGGCCTTTGCACTCCGCGAGCGGCCCTCTGGAATGAAGATACCAGGACAACGAACAGGTGCCGGACGTAATGACAAGACACCTGCTAGAGTACGTGGTGGTCCGAAGGTGGACCTTGCCAGTCGCAAAGCTGATACCGGTGCGTCGAAGAGGGCGGTTGTGGACTTGGATCTCCCCGAGGGTCAAGACACAGATGAGGCGGCAAAGATGAGGAAGGCGGTTCGTGCGAGGGAGAAGTTTATGCGTCATGCGGGTATGGCGAGCGAGTTCAATCTGGGATGAACACCTTGCAGATAGCTACATATCCATCTTTCATTGCACACCTTCCCGAGACTGCTTGTGTTCTCAATCATGCACCTATTTCATGTTGAGAGGTTCGATACAGACATGTAGTCTTTGTAGTCTTTGGAACCTCCATCTGTCTCATTTGCTACGTCGGTTTCGACAGCTCTCTTATACGCTGTCCGATTAAAGAACGCAAAGTGAGCACGATAGCTGCTGTTCGGTTGTACTGCCATTCATGTTCCCGCAGAACAATACCTGACGATGTTGGGGAACGTTTGAACTAAGCCTCATTCGCTCTAGCACACCGTCCCAGGTCCATCGCGGATCGCAAGGTCATGTGACGTCAGCATCCCCCGGACCCATCATTTAGCATCTGAGGCATGCAATGCAATATCACAACCATATACAAGTGGCTGAACGGAGCAACACAGACAAGGAGAAAATAAAGCCGTGCACATTGTGTTGTTTCCGCGACTTGTCTATCTGCAGGGGCTATCACAATGTTCTGGGCGAATTGAGCTCCTTCCCGCCCCCAACTTCCAATTCAGTAATCCCTTCCGAACACATGACCAAGCTTCCAGCCGTACATATTCGTCATGCGATACGTGGAATGGCTACTGACCTTGGGACGCGTCGTAACGGTTTGGGAGCCCAATCACTCTACTGGCCAAGAGGATGAGTTTCGGTATCAGTATTGGAGATATTCTCAAGCTATGCGAGATAGCTGGTAGGGTCTACAAGAACTGTCCGTGTTGCCCCACCGTAGCTCCCAGCAAGCTAAACTCAAGACAGGTCGCGACTGCTCGGGCGAATACAAAGCTCTTACGTCGCAAGCCCGAGCGCTATCGAACCTACTCGAGGACATACAAGACAAGTATGACAAGATACCCGAGAACAAGCAACAGCAGCTTATCAATGCGTACGAGCCATGCATCGAGGTACTCGAAGAGCTAGACAAGCTTGTCTTGCGTTACAACGGGCTCGACACGAAGAGCAAGCGCGCATGGGACCGCCTCAAGTACGATCCAGAAATCACACGAAACCTACGAGAGCGTCTCATCGCGAGCGTGTCGATGCTTAACAGCTTCTATACGACCTTGATACATGACAGCCAGGTTCTTATATTGGAAGCCCTGGAGAGGTTGGAGAAAGACTACAAAGGCGGTTACCGCGAAGAAAGCATTGCTTCCATCGGGAGGCTCACGTCTGCGGGCATCTTGGACAATGACAAGGATGACGAGGAATCGTGGAGTCAGATTCTCCGCGATCTTGAAGATGTGGGAGTCTCTCAACAGCAGGCTGTGAGCTACCGAGATCTCATTGTAGACTGGCTTGTCAAGGCTGTCAACGAAGGGAGGCTCTTGGAAGAGCGGCCAGGTAACGACTTCTTTGAAACTATGCAGCAAGATCTTGGAGCAGCTCTTCCTGAATTCGAATTTGAACAACGATTGCATAGTTTCGACGTACCAACGATGATCACACCTTCGGACCGAGGCTCGCCAGCTGCATCTATAGAGCACACGCCTGTATCAAGTCCACTGATAACACAACAAGAGTCCGTATACCTGGCTCCTTCAGCCACCCCCCTGGCGTTTTCTAGCACCTCCTTGCAAACACCCTCGCGGCGCTCTGGATCGGAAGCCTCATCGCTGTATGCAGAGCCACGACCATTGTCTCTGCCTGCTACTCCCGCAGATTCCGTGATGGAACGCATCCCAGTCCCATCTCTAAGCGCCCCGATTCCTGTTGTACCGGCGTACAACCCCCCCATGATAGCGGCTGCGCATCCGACCAGTCCCCCTTCTCCTCTGCCTTCGGTTACGAATATAACAGAACCATTTGTGGCACCTCCATCGTATTATGAGAAAGATACAACGAGCACAATAGATCTTGAATGGACGGCACACCAGATAGTGGCTGCATGGGCTCAGAATGACTTTGTCACGGCAGAGAAGCTCCTCGAAGACCAACTTACGGCAGTCGAACGCGGACATACATGCGTGTCTGGAGTTCAGCCTGATCGACGCATTCTCAGGCATTTACTTGGAGTCTGCGCTTCTTATACCGGGAAGTTCACCAAAGCAAAACGCTTGTTCGAAAGTGTGTTTAATGGAATTTACCTCAATCGCCAGAATCTGGACGATGGTGATATAGCTGCCGCGCGGTGGCTGGGAGACGTATGTCTGCACACCCAGGAACATACAAACGCCGCTCTCGCGTACAGTGTAGCTTATGAAGGGTCTCTCGGCCGCTTCGGTGTAGCACCCGACCGTACTCAACGGGTGGCTGCCGAGATAAGACTTGTCGACCACTGGCTATGGGTGTTTAAGAGGATCGAGGATTCTCTCAAGCTCAATATGGACCCAACTAATATCTTCGCATCTACAAACGTTGTTGAAAAGAGCAATCTGATGATGTCAGTCAAGAACAATATTTACGAGACGGCTGGATCTGGTAGATATGGTGCAATGTCACCACATCCAAGTAGGCGTCCGTCATTTACTATAGGGCCCCGACCAAAGTACGCTCTCATGATTTCAGAGAGGTTTCTCTTGGGACCTCTGGTTTCTCTGAGTACATGGCCACTGCCTTGGGATCCTCTTTTCTGTCCTGCTGACGCTGTTCAATTGGACCGCTATATGAACACTGTACGACTGGCAAATTACATTGGCAAGCCCTTATCTGAGCGTGAACTACCAACCAACACACTAGGAGACTCCAAAAAATTACACTTTCTGACCAAAAGAGGCAATCGATGGTTGATAGAAGCTGTGAAACAAGGCCTCCGCGAGATTGGGATCGAGCACGCTGAACATGGATATGAGCCTTCGATTGTATGCTGCCTCAATCAGCAGCGTCAAGGTGTGGTATTCTCTGAAGGTGTTGAAATCTGCTTCAGCAAGCTTCCATTCCGTCATGTTTATGGGATCAAGGTCTCGGATGTAAAGTGGGCTACACGAAGGTTCAACGCGGTAACACAAGACTTGGCACAGAGCTTCCGAGACACGACCGATTTCAGGAACATCATCAAGGGTATTATGGAGAGAGCGGAGGCAAAGGCAGCCCCTCCAGGGTCGACGCAAGACGCTCAGCACGAGAGCATGGATGTGTATGCGCAGGTTCCCCATATGTCGCCGCTTCTCAAAAGGCCATCGTACGGTTGAGTTGCGTTGGTTGTCTTCTTTCCAGTACCGGATATCGAACAATTTGGGGATTGTAGCCGTCAACAACACGCTCATAACTCTACTGCTTAATACTGCAGCATAAGTACCAGCCCGGTGTTTTCCGCGAGAGCTTCCACTACATCTCTTCACCTTGGCAGTCGGGTATGGCCAATTCGTTTTTAAAAGGAGAGGTTGGGGCCTGCCAACGTTCGAGGTCGTGACGTGCCAGGGCTCCCCAGACAGCTCTGATGTGTTGTTTTGTTTTCCTTTCTGGGAACCAACAACAAGGTTGGTTCCCAGCCCCAGGGTAGTCCTGCGAGACTTGGGAAGTGATAGCAGCTATCGGGAGAGCTCAGTGGCACAACCCATAATTTCACGGTCAGCTAGCTGCAGGAACCCATATGCGCTCAGTTCCGAGAAGAGAAGACACATATCTTCACGACTGCACGCCCTCATGCCTGTCGAGAACATGAAACGTCTGTTTTCATAGTTTGCGTCTAACAGCCAAATTGTGTTTTGCCGTGCCAACGCTCTACGGGTAGAACCTCGCCGCAATTTGGCATCCCGTGTAACCCCAGGAGAAGCGGCGGGTACTCTTGGCACCAGGCTGAGATTTGCAATGTGGATGGTTCGCGAAATGACTGTCAGCCTAATCCGCCAACGTCGCAAGCTGCCTCCTGAACCAAAGTTCACAGAACTTACCATGTTCGACGATCCGTAGCGCCAAGGAAAGGAGTGGTCGGGCTCGCTCCTGGTAACGGTAGTCTGTATCGATAACCCCGCTTCTAACGTTCTACTGCGTCTTCATCTGCACATGGCCGATGACGAGATCGACCCGCGACGGCGCAAAAATGGTTTAATGAAGGCGCGGTACCTGAGTTAGTGTCGTCTGAGAGAGCGCCTTCTAGCGGGTAAGCTTGCCAAAATTCCGACTAGATGCTCGCTAAAATAGTCTGGTTGTGTTTCATGTTTCAGCGGTACAACCTCACTTGCGCGTTGATTGGCCGAGAGTGCCTGAGGCTGACTGCGTCTTCGGAACCCAGCGTTACTGCTAGGAAACAGAACAGCGGGCTCGAACACCCTGCGATCTGTTGCAAGGAAGGAAATCATAGCGGCGGCAAAGCGGATGCACAATCCAGGGATATCGATGTCTGCAGGAGTCAGGTGTGATGATGATACGGGGGATGTGCACCACTGGTCTAGGCGGAGCTCGTCTGAATCAAAAGCTACGAGCCGCCGCGCTCGAACTGACCTTTCTTCTTCACCTTTGACCACACAAGGATATTCTCTTCAAAACCCAACTTTCCGTCTCTCCTTCCAGGGCGCTTTGCTGCTCATTCCATTCATTCAGTGTCGCTAGCCGGCCTATTCATTCATTCTTCTGCACATTGAGTCCTAGTGACCAACCGTCCTCGTTCGTGTGTCATACTATCACAGATACTCTACCAAAAGATACAACCGCAGTTCTTCTACTGTCAACCACAATCGAACACCAGCCATAATGAAGACCCAGTCTATGCTTCTCGCCGCTCTGGCCTCGGCCCCTGCTGCCCTTGCCCACACTGTTTTCACCGATTTCTTCGTGGACGGCATGCCTCAGGTTTGTTTTGCCATTCATTCCATACATGCTACATGCTAAGAGGAACCAGGGTGATGGTGTTGCCATCCGCATGAACCCCAATGCTGCGAAAGCCAGCAGTCCCATTGCCAGCCTCGATAGCGACGACATGGCCTGCAGTACGTTTGCTTTACATGACTGTTTTAGACGCGACGCTGATGATCACTCTAGATGTCGGTGGTACTAAAGGAGTCTCCCGCGTTCAGCCTGTCAAGGATGGCGCCCTCCTTACGTTTGAGATCCGTTCGTGGCCCAATGACCCTACCAAGGAGCGTCTTGACCGCGGCCACAAGGGTCCCTGTGCCGTTTACCTGAAGAAGGTCGCAGACGCTAGCACCGACAAGGCTGTCGGTGATGGCTGGTTCAAAATCTTCGACCATGGTTACGATGCGTCTACCGACCGCTGGTGCACCGACGAGATCATTGACAACAATGGTCTATTGAATGTGAACCTCCCCAAGGGCCTTGAGGGAGGTGACTACCTTGCCCGCCCCGAGATCCTTGCTCTCCACGCCGCAAATGACAATGATCCTCAGTTTTACACTGGGTGCGCACAGCTCTTCCTTGAGAGCAGCGGAAACCTTGTCCCAGAGAGCACTGTCTCCATCCCTGGCTACGTAAAGTATGGTCAGCCGTCTACCGACTTCAACATCTACAACACTCCCGGCAGCGAGTACGTTGTCCCTGGCCCCAAGGTCGCCAAGCTCACAGCTGGCGGTACGCAAAAAGCGTCGACCACCCAAGCCGATGGGTTGAAGCCTGAGGGCTGCATCATGGAGAACGCAAACTGGTGCGGCAAGGAAGTTTCGTCGTACAACACAGAAAAGGGCTGCTGGGCCTCGGCTCAAGAGTGCTGGGACCAGAGCGATGTGTGCTTCAACACTAGCCCTGCAACTGGCAATGCAGGCTGCAAGATCTGGCAGGACAAGTGCAAGGACATCAACGCTCAATGCACAGCTATGAACTTCAACGGCCCTCCTAACAAGGGCAAGGTTCTGACTCCTGTCAAGAAGAGCATTGATGTTGGCAAGATCATGGCGACTGTAGGCGGTGGTATCGTGGATGCTGCGCCCAAGACGAGCTCCGCGAAGAAGGAGACACCCGCAAAGGCTACTCCTATGCCTGTTGCCGATAAGGTTGTATCTGCTGCGCCCAAGCCTACAGTCGACGACCAGTACGAGAGCCCTCCTATCGTCGAGGCTTCGGCTGCTCCTCCGGCGCCCACAAAGCCCAGCACCCTTTCCAAGGTCCCTGTCTCTACCATCACCGTCGGACCATCGTCCGCGAACGGTCCTGCCCCAACTGAAGTGTCATGCCCCCAGGGATGGAAGTGCGTTACTGTAACGGATGTTGAGGTTGTTACCACGACGGTCTACGTGACTGCTACTGCATGGTAGATGGAGACTTGGGCACGGTGGAAGGGAAAGAGAAGAAAAGGTTACTTTCTGCGACGGCGATCGCGAGCTCACGAGCTCTGTTTTAGGATGAGTTTCGCTTTCCAGCTATGAATGATACGTGTTTACTTATTGCACACTTGAAATCTATTTCTCTCCCTCAATTGTCCGCATCTTGACGCTTCCGTCCTCCATGCCAAAGTAGACGGCGACAGGCTTCTGGCCGCCCCGTACGGTCTTGGTCAGTTGATCCTGCTCGCGAAGTCGCTGTGCATCGATGCCGTTTAAACCAGAAAAGATGCCAACCTCCAATACACCAGTCAGGCCCTTGATGGCCTTGCTAATCGTGTTGACCTCCCACGTACCGTCAGTTCCATCACCCTTGCCCTTTCCAGCTGCAACGTCGGCAGAAGTGAGCAGGGCGGGAAAGGGCGCATCGATAATGTAAAAGTCCTGGTCCGTTTTCAGGGGTCCCGACTTCTCGAGTAGCGTAGTCCTTAGCTTGGGGCCCGTTGAACCAAGCATCCTAAGGGCAGCAGCGACCTTGAGCTGAGACATTGGCGCAACCTCTATCGGTATGGTTGGCCAGTTGGTCAAAAGGCGATCTTGTCTCTTCCTGTAGTCTGCGACACACACGAACTTTTTGGCCCGCTCGGCGACAAGCTTTTCCTGGAACAGGCATGCACCTCCTCCCTTTATACAGTTGAGTTCCGAATCGACCTCATCGGCGCCGTCGAAAGCGACATCGAGCATTACGCGATCGGGGAGACTGTCGAAGGAGATGGCGGTTAGGCCGGCGTTGACTACGAGTTGGCGCGATTGGTAGCCCGTGGGCACGAAGAGGATGTTTGGGTTCGTGGAGCGCTCCTTGATGGCTTCGACGACGTATACAATGGTAGTTCCAGAGCCAATTCCAACGTGGGTGGCTGCAGGGTCGAAGTGATCGGCTACTGCTTGGTGAGCAGCAGCGCGCTTTGCGGCCTCGACAGTTGTGTCAGTCATGCTTGTTGCGTGTCTAAGGAGACGAGGTTTAGACGGCTGTATGTGTAACCGAGAATTTGGCAGAGGTCGGAGGGGCAGTCGAGACGTGAGATGACTGATGCCGCGCGCTTGCTGATTTATATTGGCCACCCAGACGTGGTTCAACTTCAACGGCATTAACCGGATTGCAGCTTGTTTTGCAGTGCTCAGGATAATCTAATGCTTACGGAGAATCGCGACGAGACGGCACGGGAGGAACAATTTGCTCGTGACGAGATGATTGAGCATCGGCCAAAATGACGATGTGAGCCCCACCAGCACCGATACCCCGCGACAGGGATGCAACACTAGCGCGCGGGCTGGCAGCGCGTTTGGTGCCTGGCAGCTTGAGCTCTCGCTGGTCTTGGGCAAACACCGACCGTCCTCCCACTTTCAACACACTCTGGTCGCGACAATGGACCATCTTCCGCCTCCAGTCCAGGGCCCGACTGCCAAGGAGAAGAAGTAAGTCTATGATGCCCCGTCCACTTGCTTTCTGCGCGATTGCCGACTGACCAGACCAGATATGACCGTCAACTGCGCCTCTGGGGAGCTACCGGCCAAATCGCACTCGAGAAGTCGCATATCCTGCTCATCAACTCCGGCCCAGGCGTTGTTGGCGTAGAGACGCTCAAGAACCTCGTCCTTCCCTGCATCGGCAACTTCACCATCCAGGATTCCGCCATTGTGAGCCAAGCGGATCTAGGCGTCAACTTCTTCCTACAAGACCAGCACCTGGGAGGGTACCGTGCAGAACACACGTGCAATCTCCTCAAGGAACTCAACCCAGATGTAGATGGCCATTTCATCACAGAGGTACCTCAAAGCATGCCCCTCCGCCCCTCACCCGCTGATCCAAGCAGCCCATAGAGTCATGGCTTGCCAAACCTGACGCTCTACGGCCGTATACCCTCGTCCTCGCGACTGCACCTGTCCGTCCTGAGATCCTCGCTAAGCTCTCCGACCACGCAAGCGCCGCGCTTATCCCGCTGTTCTACGTCCACTCGGTCGGCTTCTACGCCCACTTCTCCGTACACCTGCCTCCTGCCTTCCCCATCGTAGACACACATCCCAGTCCCGAGACCACATCAGATCTCCGGCTATTAAGACCATGGCCAGAGCTTGTACAGTACGCCCAAGAGAAAACGGCCGACTTGGACAACATGAAGCCAGAAGATCACGGACATGTCCCATGGATAGCACTACTGCTGCATTTCCTTGAGCGTTGGAAGAAAGACCACGGCGGCCAAGTACCCCAGACATACAAGGACAAGACCGAGTTCAGAACGTCCGTAGCGCAAGCCGCACACACCAACAACCCAGAAGGTGGCGAGGAGAACTTTGACGAAGCAGTGGCGGCCGTTCTCAAGTCGCTGAACCCACCGCAAGCGAGCAGTTCTGTCAAAGAGATTTTCACGGCGCCAGAGTGTCTTCTGATCCGTGACGACTCCCCAAGTTTCTGGGTCATTGCCAACGCTATCGGTCTATTCTATACCAAATACAACGTCCTCCCAGTTCCTGGTTCTGTACCCGATATGAAGGCGCGCTCAGCAGACTACATTCAGCTGCAGAATGTGTACAAGGCAAAAGCACGAAAGGATCTGGCAGAGGTGGTAGATAGTGTCCGCTTCCTGGAGCGTAATGCTAACCGGAGCACGCAAATAGACGAGAAGGACATTGAGACATTCTGCAAAAATGCAGCACACATCAAACTAGTGCGCGGGCGGCCATTCCATGTCGTACAGGCAGGTGAAAAGATCAAGTGGGGTGACCGTGCCAAGTCAATCGGTAATGAAGTCGACAAACATGCATTGTTCCAACTAACATCGCATAGCCCAAACGCTCACATTCCCTGACTCACAGATCCCGCTTTATATTGCTTTCTTAGCTTGGGATGAGTTTGTTGCGACACACGATCAAGATGGCTCAGGAGGAGCACCTCGCGTTGCTGGCGAGACCGACCCCGAGACAGACTCAGAGAAGCTCACAGGAATAGCCTTGAAGATTGCGAACGATCTCATCAAAGAAGCAAATGCGTCTATCGAGGAAGAAGAGTTCGACACGATCAAGTCACAGATTGGAGAATATGCACAGGAGCTGTAAGTTATCAACGCTATACTTGACACCCCTACTGCATGATACGAAAGAACAGTAGGCTAACAGAACCACAGTGTGCGAGCAGGTGGCGCCGAGTTACACAACATCGGTGCCTTGATCGGTGGGATCGTTTCACAGGAGATCATCAAGGTCATTACAGAACAGTATGTTCCTGTCGACAACACATGTGTATTCGATGGGATCAAGAGCAAGAGTACCGTTTTCAAGGTCTGAACAGGTGTGTTGGAAGGCACAATGACGAGGTAGCGAGCCGGCCCTGGATGATAAGAGTTTGTTTTTGCCATCGGATAGGGTGGCTGTGTCCTGCAATAACGAAGAAACGAACCCTAGAATAAGAGGAATTGGCATAACTGGGCGTCTATGTATCGCTCCCGCCATGTATGGGGGGCCGACTCGAGATATGGCATGCATTAGCTAGGGCGCAGCAATTCACATACCAACAAAGACTAATAACGAGTACACCCTATTCAGACTGCGCAGAGCGAGAGTGGAAGTAAGGCTGGTGCATCATTGATCTCTGTCCTCGTATCTGAGAGTATGCACAAATGCTCTTACCTGAAAAGGTGCTTGTATGAAGTAAGTGTATGTCTCGAAGGCTGTTCATCAGGGACGTTGTTCACTCAACTTAATCTCACTACCGTTTGCTCAAACTGGATCTCCAACTTGCGATCCGTACAAGAATCCATGTACAGTTCATAAATGTCTGAACAGCGCAAAGTGAACTAACCTACTTTAGCCTTTCCCTTAACTCCCCGATCGCGACCCACTTGCGTTGATGACAAAGCGATCAGAACCCAAGCGCGGTCACGTGGTCGACGTGACGCGATCGAAGCCGGCGCGTCGGAGTCCAGCCCAGTAGGACCCGTCTGTCAACTCTCTGTCATACCGAGTAATTGCTGTCTGCGATAGACCCATGGACTCTTCCTTCGATCTCCCCGACTCCACCGATTGGATCAAGACTTCCCTACCCGCGTTCGAACCGCTCGAGGCTGCGTTGCGCTGCGAAGTCTGCAAGGAATTCTACAACAACCCTGTCATCACGTCGTGCAGTCATACCTTCTGTTCAATATGTATACGAAGATGCATTGCGGCGGACGGGAAGTGTCCGAGCTGCAAGACTGGATGTTCCAGCGACAAACTGGCGCCCAACATTGCCGTCAGAGAAGTGGTGATGCGGTTCCAGGAGGCGAGACCAAAGGCTATGGAGTTGGCGCGTGCAGACAAAGAAGGAGGGACTGCAGCAGCTAGTAAAAAGAAGAGGAAACTAGACGATACGGATATGGAAGATGGGGACAACGTCAGGCATACACGGTCGCGACAAACACGAACGAGAAGCCAGCGCAACAACGACAGGAGTGAATCGCCAATGGTCGTCGCTGATAGCGAGGATGGTGGCGATGAGGATTTCATGCCAGACGGCATGGCAAGGTGCCCAATGTGCAACAAAGCGATGAAGGCGGAGCTGGTCTACAACCATCTGGACGTATGCACCGGGCCTGAAGCTTCGCAGGGACGCAGTACCCGGTCAAGGTACTGAAAGAGAACGCATCGTTACCATATCATGCGACTGACCATGGTTTGTTCTAGGACTAAAAGCGCCTTTCCACCTGCCTTCCAAATCCGGAAGAAGGACCCTTCGCCTCCGCCTATGAGATTGTCACAGCTCAACTACGCTATGTTGAAGGAGACTGCGCTGCGCAAAAAGCTCCAGGAAATCGGCATACCTACCTGGGGTACGAAAGACTTGATGAAGAGACGACACATTGAATGGCTGAACATCTACAACTCGAATTGCGACGCTGATGAGAGCGTGAGGAAGAGCAAGAAGCAGCTTTTGAGAGAGTTGGATGAGTGGGAGCAAACACTTGGTGGGAAAGCGGGTACCAAAGAGAGCAAAATAATGAAGAAGGATTTCGACGGCAATGGGTATGCGAAGTCACACAAAACCGAATTTGACGACCTAATAGCGCGAGCACGGCAGAAGCGAGGCACCCCCAAGACAGACAGTGAGGAGCCTTCTGAGCGAAACACGCCTGCAAAAGAGCGGAACACCGAATCGCATGTTTGCCATGGGGAACCAGTCAACAGTATCGAAACCTCTAACCATGGATCATCGTCGAACCATGTTCCCTCGGATATACAAGCATCGCCATCCAATAGCGGCAACCCTTGCGAAAACAACGAACTAGTGCTTGATAGGATAAGAGCGAAAGTTGAAGAAGCCAAAATCACATCCGCCGAAGTACCTGTCTTGACGTCTGAGCAGTCGATAGAGAGCGGGGGAAGGCGTGGCTCAGCGACTATGGACGGCATACAGAATTCTTTAGGAAGTCCAAATCGCAACATGCCCATGGTCGCGCTTCCAGAAGAACCAGTCCGAGATGTGGAGGGAGGCACAGCTGTGCAATAGTAGGTAGTTGCGATGATTGACAACAACAGAGCTAAAGGCCCGTCTCTTAAAAGGGCTCTTATCGATCCAATATTGGTGCCTTTCGCACATAACATCCACACGCATTTGTTGAACAAGATACTTACACTCACTGTGACCAATTTTAACATTCTCAGCCATGGAGCGACTCAGTGCAGACGGAAGCCTGTCCCACGATTCAGCCATTGGCACACCACAAAAAATGGATTCTTCTCGAGTATCAGGCACCGCTCCTTCAGCATCTTCTCCATTGGCAGCACCGTCGACGCCCACGAACAACAGCGTGCCTTCAGTACCTTCAAACGGATCTTATACCACAGCACCTGAATCGCCGACTTCATGTAGTCGACAGACTGCTGAAGAAAACAACGTAGTACACAGAGTCCTCAGTCTACCCAGAAGAAGACGGACACCATCACTAAAGCATGCGCCAGATTTGCGGTGGAATCTATCACAACCACCAAGACTTAGTTTGGATGAGCCAGGGAGTGTGGTGTCAGAAGACGATGTGCCTGTTGGTAGGAAGGAGAACCAACGAGCGAGGCTTAGTCCTTTGATAGAGGGCCCAAGCCCTGCTGGAGAACGTCCGAGGTCTGATGAGGAGCGTCCGATAACCCCTCTACTTCCTCCGACTCCAACTAGACAGGACGCTGCTCACGTCAACTTCTCCCGCCCCAACCCAGTCAGAATCCGAGACGCGCTCGCTGAGTATCAACCCCACCGTCTTAGTCCCCTCGACGAGTCCACAGCCTTGCATCCACGACGTTACCCAGGAGAACGCGAAGGCCATCCCGCCTACTCACCACAGCCATCCTACGGCTCCATTTCCTCTCGGGTCACATACAGCGGTGAAGACGAAGATCCGTCTCTAAGCACAGCGCAGCTTATCTCTGTACAGAGGGTGACACCCGAGGACACGGGACGAGACGAGGAGGCTATTGCAAACAGGCAGCTTGAGCCTCTCTTCGCGAGAACACCGCCGTTTGAGACACCAGAAGAGGAGACGATGCATTTCTATAGACAGCTGCGGCAGAGGGCCAACAAGCAAACCGCATGGGAACGAAGACATCCTTATCGACATAGGATGAGAAGAGCATGGCGCAAGGTCAAGGATTTCTTTAATTTTTGAACTCGAGGCATACAAAGTGTATCATTAGTTCATTTCTAAAAACTCCGACGCCGTTGTAGACGCCTTGCATACCCGTAGTTTATCAACAGTGGTGCCTATATTTTCCCATCTCTGCCCTATTGATACCAGCTTTGTTCGTCATAAGTAAACCCTTGCATTCCCATACCATTAAAACCAGCTGCGCCAAAACCGTTCAAACTTGGAGTTGGATTGGCATTTCCGTTTCCATTTGCATTTCCATTCGTGTAACCATTCACCGCGTTTCCACCCACCGGTCCTCCACTCATCTCATTGCTCATGACAGGCGCGTTGGTGTTGGCCTGGAACGGACCTGCTGGGCTGGTCGTGTTGGCAAACCAGTTCGCAATGTCATCGATGCCTTGTGGGTTCCAGTTCTCAAAGTCAGTCGCGAGCTGTGTCTGATCGCGGTAGATCCAATCTTGGCCTTCTCGTAGTAACTGGTCCACACCGCCGAAGAGCTGGCTTGGAGAGTTTCCAGCGGTCGTTTGTCCGCCATCGACGGAACGTCGGCCTTGTGTAGACGCCGGTGTTGGTGCATTGAGGGCGGACGATGAGTTTTGCGGTGTGCTGATCTGGTGCTGATTGCGCATGTAAGCCAGGGCGTTTGCGTCGGAGGGAGGTATAGAGTGGGTGCTGGAAGGGCGCGCAGAAGGATCATTGCTTACGGAACTGTTGGTGTTTGCTGTTACTCGGCTGAAGAACTGGGGTGTGGCCATGTTTGTCAGATTCATGCTGTATGGTTGCAGGCTTGGGGATGCTTGGTCCGCCGGTGATGGATGATGGTTGCTCGTCTGAATGGATGCGCGGCGGTTTGCTCTAGGTGTATTGATCTCGTTCCAGGGACCATATTTGGCATCGGTCCGGGACAGTACTGTGGCAGCCTCTTCTGGCATCTCGACTTTCCAACGATTGGCCAGGACGCTGAGAATGCCGAGGGTCCGGCGAGCACAGAGCCAGCCTTCGGCTATTTCCTCAAGATGCTTGACGCCATGTATGATATCGCGCTTCGCATTCTTCTCCGGTAGATTCAAAAGATGTATCGTGCATGCCGAATGTGCGATATATACACAGATGTTGCATATTTGGCGCAAGCCATGCGATCGCTTATATAGTCGAAGTAACTTTGAGATCATGGCAGCAGCTTGTGTACACAGCTTCCTAGGTGATACAGTTGCGGGTAATGGGGAGTTGTTCGGGTTGTACTTCAGGAACGGTCGGAAAAGATGGATATACAACAATTGAAAGAACATACTGCAACCATGTTAGTGCGACGCCTGTTGCACAATGCGCAGGGCGTACTTACTGCATGACCAGCATGTGTGGTAAACCACCTTCCTTGGGCTCCAACTCTTTGGGCAGCTCTCTTTTCCACGTCTCTAGACGCATATGTATCTCGCTCAGCTTCTTCAGCTCCGCTTGCCTGCCTTTGACCTTGTCCATATCAGTCGGGTTATAGAAGGAGTTCATTAGGTCGCTGGAGATTTCACAGAGCTTAGATATCTGGAGCGCGACCGCACGAGTCCGGCTGGGCTGAGAATGTGCTTGGCTGAGGCCAGAGTCTGTGACTGCGCTCCACGTTTCGGCATCTTCACTAGGAAAGACTTCGAACTTGGGGACTGTAAGGATCGTGTTGGGCAGTTGTGGTAATCGTCCCATGTAGTTACTCCAGCACTTGTCGAACAGGAAGCAGCCCCAGAAGGTGATCCTTCGCGCGTCTTCTTCATTGTCGTCGATTGTGTCCTTGGTGTGCATACCGAGATTCAGGCCAAGGTCGCATGCCATGCGGAACGACATGCCGCTGTAGACCCATCCCTTTGCTTCTCGCCCACAACCAGCTTCTCGTACAGACATCAATGCCAGAGCTTGCACGGTTGTCAAAGCTGGGACCTCGTGCAGATCGTCCTCCATGATCAGGCGTTTGGCTTCTTTAAAGAAGTGGTCGCCTGCGGTTGCAGAGTCATCGCGGATAGCTCGGGCTGCAGGCCAGGAGGTGAAGTGACAGCCCAGTGCTAGCATGGCGTTGACGAGTAAGGGCGAACAATATTGTGTCTTCCTTGGGGAGCCTGGCGGCGGTTTGCCTAGTTGAAACTCTTGTAGGAAGAGGTTTTTGGACAGGGTGGTGAAGAAGCTGTAGTGCCAGCAAAAGTACATGCTCATCAGGTGCTGCACGAGCTCCGGGTCCGAGGTGACGGTGGTCCACGAGCAGAATGGATCCTGGGCTTCCGGGTAGTGGTCGTCGGGGTATGTGTCTGGCGACTCGGCCTCTTCGCTGCCTTTGCCCAGGTATATGAGATGTGATGTGCCGCCAATGTATCTCGTCGATCCATCCTCGAGCCGCAGCTCGCCCATCTTTCCGCTCAGCTGGCTCTCGAAGGTGCCCTTGGCCGGGGCCATGATGGGGGTGGTGACTGGGCTGATGGGCTCATCCTCGTCGTCTTGGCCGTTCTCCTTTGCAATGATAGCTTCGGCGACCGAGTCGAGGCTCTCGCAGGTGCGTATTTGTTGCACAAGGTGGGCGACTTGGTCTTCTGGGTAGTTGAGGATGGCCTGGATGAGCGTCTGGAGGGTCGAGTTACGCGTCTTGAGGTTGTCGATGTCCTTCTTGTAGACGCCCTTGCGGCGGTGGTCCGAGTTTGGGTCGTAGATGCATGGCGTGTTGTAGACGGCGGCACAGGCTGAGCAAGCCGGAGTGGTTCCGTCGCACTATGTCTCGGATTAGCGACTCTGCTGCTGGCAGGCGCGTGGTTCCGAGGGCGCTGGCCATGATGCGGAGAATGCGTGTACAGACCGGAGAAAGGGCATCAGGGCCAATTCCGGTTACCTAAACATACCTTGGACTTGCGCTTCCTGCACGGAACACAGGCGGAAGAGATGCACCGCCTCTTCTTGGGGTCGTCGCTGCCCGCATCCCTCTTGCCCCTTCGTCCCTTCTTGGCGGGCCCGTCCCAAGTTGGCTGCGCTTCCGCAGTGTTGTTGTTCTCCATAACAGCTCCTCGAGGTTGGCCGGAGAAGCAAAATGTGGGGGAATGGCGGGGCGCGCTCTGACGGGCCTCGAGCAGCGCGACATTAATCAGCCGCCGCTCGACATGTCAATCGCTCGTGCTTCCGCCCTCTATCTCGCGCGCTCAACATGGCCGGCCAAGGACAGGGAAGCCCGCGCAATCGAATCAGAACGGCGGTCGCTTTGGGCTGGTGAAGAGAGACTGCGCGACCGTCTTGCGTCGTCGAGCTTCCTTGCTATCGCCCGCCGTGTCATTGGTGCAATTCGGCCCTTATCTGGGCACTTGCTCTTAGCCGACGAACGCCTTCGTCCATGACTGCAGCCAGGCGCGATAAAGCAATGACAAAGTTGGCGGCTTGCACTCTTCGATAGCATATTTACCTCAAAACAAACGCCCATGGTGGAGCCTGGCACGCCTCCAATGCATTCCCACGACCAGAAGCAAGCCTAAAGCCATCAAGCCCCCAAACTCCCAGCTCCACCCAGACATGGCTCGTATCGCAACTTTCCAACCCGTCGCCTAACAGCCTACAAGTCGTCGGCATAACCCTCATCGTCTTGATCAGCCCGGAAGCCGCCGCGTGGGTCCGGGTTATCGACCATGATAAACGGCTTGCCATCGGGATCCTCCTCCAGGTTACCAAACAGCCGCATCAGCGAGCGTGTGTCCATCCTGCAGCACCATTAGCCATGTTTGAACAGATTTGGAGCCGAGAATCACTTACTTCTTCATCGTCTTTCCATCGTCCTCCATGACCGAAGCAATCTCATTCTGCTTGCGCTCTTGCATCGCGATAAGGCGCTCATCCACCGTGTTCTTGACACAGAGCCGGCTCATAAATGTCTCCTCGCGCTGGCCGATACGGAAGACACGGCAGAAAGCTTGCTGTTCAGAGGCCGAGTTCCACCAAGGGTCGATCATGATGACCTTGGACGCCATAGTAAGGTTGAGACCCACTGTCATGTAGTTAGCAACTGAGCTGCAGAAGACATCTGCCATACTTACAGCCACCGCAGCGGAGAGACGCTAACATGATTTTGCAGTCAGGGTTCTCAGCGAAGGAGCTGATGGCCTTATCACGAGCGCCCAGACTCATGCCGCCGTAGTACTGGTGAGATAGATACGTTAGCAAAAGTCGGCAACAATTTGGGGCCCAAATTTATGCCTGGAGGTATTCAGGCATCATTTCAGCGTCAAAAGAAGGCATGCAAGTCCATGTCGCCGTCTGATCGGTACTTACCTGCTCTGTCTGCCAGTTTTCCCCTCTGAAAACGCGTGCCAAGATGCGGATCCTAATGTCTGTTAGCATTTTTATCCAAGAGGAAATGTGCTAGTCGACTCACATTGGCAGAAACTGAGTATAGACAATGATCTTGACGTGAGGGTTCTCTTTCAGCCAGTTCATGATCTGACTCTTGACGGCTGCACATGTAGAGGTGCCAAATTAGTGTGTCTCCCATGTACGTTTCGTATAGTCACAACTTACCGATCGTCTTTGCAGATGGTAGAACGTCATCCCCAGCCAAAGCGAGCCAGTCGTCAGCAATATCTTCGCGTTTCTGCCGATCGCGCATCTGATCCTGCTTCTTCTTGGTCTTGGCTCGTGTGCCTTGCGCTGGTGCATCTGGTATGCCCTCGTCGTCGACCTCGCAGGGGTGAATGGCTGTGGGGATCTTACCACACGCTTTGCACGGCGGAAATACATCGACGTTGTCGTTCTCAGCCATCTCAACAAGAATTTCTTCATAGCAAGGTTCCCTGCATATCAGATGGCCACAGGATGTCAATTGTGGCTGTCGTGGTTGTTTACCACACCAGCTGCACTTGGCTTTCTGTTTAGTCTTTTCCCAGCTCTCTCCGGTCTTAAGACTGTTCAAGAAGGGCTTAAAGTTGAACTCCTTGCCGAACTCACCACCCGCGGTGAAGTCTGGATGTGTGCCCTCTAGAGACTCGCAGTTAATGCCCTCATCGGCGTCTTCTTCTAAGAGCTCGTCGTCGTCGTCGTCGTTGTCATTGTCTGATACGTACTCCTCGTGTCTAGCTTTGGCGGCGGCTTTGGCGGCAGTCTTTCTGGCTTTGGTGGCAGCCTTCTTGGCTTCAAGAGCGGCAGTCCTCTTCCTCTGATCAGCCGCAACTTTATCGAGCTGCTTACGGACAGCGGTGATTGTATGCCCTCCGCGCTCGCTACTATCTTCTGCCTCCTTGTCGACCACCTCTCTGATGGCCTCGATGTCTTCGCGCTCGAGCAGATCACGGACGACAAACTGGAGCATGAGAATGTGAGCTGTTAGTTGACGAAGTCGAAGAAGCATCCTGCAGAACATTAGCAACATTGATCAAACTGGCAAAAGTTGTTTCTACTCACACCAATGCGTTGCTATACGACTTGTCCAGGGTACCCTCCCGCGCCCACATGTTGATGCACTTGGCGAAACGCGTGCGGACGATATCGTAGATTCTCCTCTCGACAGAGTTGAATTTACACCAATACGTCGTCTGGTCGGCTTGAGGGAGCTTTAGTATGGGAGCTCCAAACATCTCGTCCGCATGAGTGCGTCGGATCATGAATTGCGAAAGCCGCACGAGCAATCTCTCAGTGTTCTCCACACTATTCCCCTCGCAGTAGTTGTGCTTGAAGATCTTGAAGCTGCCAGTATGCGGAACATTAAGGAACTTGAAGTAGGGGTAGAGCTCGACCAAACTGTTCAGAATCGGAGTGCCACTAAGAGCCCACTTATGATGCGCCATAAGAGCCCGGCAGGCGATTGATGTTCGCGACATGTGGTTCTTGATAGCCTGAGCCTCGTCAAGAACGACGCGCAAGAACATCATGCGGTGCAATGGACCCCTCTGCGTTCTGAAGACTTCTTCCCACCAATCTATCTTCTGTTGGGCGGTCTGGCACTGGATGGGCGGTTCGTTCTTGGGGTACGACTTCATGATCTCGGTATATGTAGTGAGGATGATGTCGTGCCCGGCTAGGATCTCATTTGCATTGGTCGAATCAAGGCGTGTACCAGCGCCGTAACGCATGATCTTTATCTTGACTTTCGATGCATCGGTATGCAATTCGATTTCGCTCTTCCATTGGGTCAACAGTGCAGGGCTTGCAACAAGCAGAGTCGTCTTGGGGCCTTTGTCGTTCTTGGCCGGTCGACCGTTTACCATATTTGCTGTAAGAATCAGTTCTGTTCAATCAAGTCTGTTCGATACGCATACCTATCATCATGAGGGTCTTGCCAAGTCCCATTTGATCAGCCATTAAGCCGCCCCTTGGCTCTTCCGCCGCGTTTTCTCGGCGACGCATGAAGGCGGTACCAAGTACCTGGTAGGGTTTGAGCGAGGTGCTCATGCCTTTGACTTTCCAGAAGCCTTTGCCATCTGCCTTGACACTGCCCCTGCCATCAAAGTCTTTTGTTGCGAGAAGCAAGGTGTTCATGTCGCCCCTTGCTTTCTTCTGATCCTCCAGAGGTATGCTAGAGATGAGCTCTTTCAATGCATCTGCCTTTTTTCTCGATCTGAATGTAGGCTGTTCAACTGCATTTGCGCCAGCTTGTTGCTGGAAGACGTTGGCATTAAGAAGTGAAGCTGCTTGTTTGACTGCATGGCCTATAGCTTTCTTTCCTGCGGCCTTGTTCACACGGCTCTTGGGGGGTCTCTTAGGGCCAGACTTGGCCTTTATGGGTTTTCCTGTGGATTTTCCTTTGGGTCCCTTTCCAGAACCAGGGGGTATTAAGGCCTCCACAGTATCGTCGACCGCGTTCCCCTTCTTCTTTCGCGGTAGGTCACCTTCAGCCTCCAAAGCGACTCGCATACTCTGAAGTTCAGCTTCCTGCATCGTCATTTGCTTCCCTTCTTTCGTCGGCATTGGTCGGAAACGCTTACGGGGTTCGGAATCCTCGAGGTCGGAACCGTACTCAGAATCCTTTTCTTGCTCGTTGTTCGTTGGGAGGTGGAATTCTGGGAACAGTTCTGGGTCGTCTTCATTTTCCTCTCCTGCTTTCGCGATATCGCGAGCTCGCTTTCTCTTCCTAGCTATTTCAGCACCTTTGATCTTCATCCACTCAACATCTTGTTTGAATGTAAGACCGCCATTCTCCTTCTTGATCTCATCATAATAGCGCTTCTGCTTCTCGAATTCTATGGCTGCCTGTTTGTCTGTAACATCGTCGGAATCGACAGGCGGAGCTGCGATAGATGATGATTGCTCTTGCACAACGGCCTCAAGGTATGCCTCGTTATCAAGGTTGGTGTTGGTATGATATTTTGAACTCTGTCTGCTGGCGACAAGCTTTTGTTCCTGCCTCTTTCTCTGCATGGTTTTGATCCTGTTGACGACTGACATACCAGGCTTCTTCTGGTGATGGGAGGCAGAGAGTAACGGACGGTTCATAGGCACGAGGGAGGTTTGTCGGGGACCGATCCTTGGCGGAGAGGGGCCTTTCTCAGGGATGAATAATGAGGTGGAGTCGTTGTCACCGATTTGTGGTGCTTGTTCAGAGCTGTTGTGCATGAGGATATCTGGGGCGTCTTGTTGCTCAACTGAGGCAACAGGTGTGTCCTGATCATGATTAAGAAACTCTTCTTCGATAGCCTCCCCGTTGGCGTTGTGATATCGATGAGCGAGGCCTTCGTCTTCATCTTCTTGATACTCGTAGCTGCAGACTGATTGACCTTGTTGTTCTACGCTGTCAGGCTGATGTTCAAAGTCATCACTCGCCACGCCAGGGTTGTTGAGGCCCTCAGTGCCTGGAACCAGGGTCTGAGTGCCGACTGCGACGTCGATACCATCAGACTGAGCCATGGTGGCTTGGCACGGAGATTAGACTGGCGTAGTAGTTGGATGCCAAGTGCAGGTTGAGGCAGGCTTGAGGGACGACAAAGAGAGAAGAGGACGGTAGTGTAGGAAAGATGGAGGAACAGCAGGAAGTGAAATTTATATAGACAGTAGCAGCATTGACGAAAGAGGGGAGAAGGCAGGTGAGAGAGATGGGCAGTGGGAGTCGGAGATTCAGATTGGTGGTGAGAGAGTAATGCGCATTCTAGGCTTGATCGAAGCTACGTGCACAAGCACCTGAGTCTGGCAGCCTGAAGCAAGGTGAGTGAAAGGGCACAAATCTGAAATTCAACACATCTAACGTACAAGGTATGTTAAGAAACTCCCGGCTCCATAGTTTGAATTGGATTCGTAGATGAAGTAGGCATTGTAGGCGGCAAAATGGGTCGAGATCTCGCAGTTTTTGGGTAGGTCAGCGTACATACAAGGCCCGAACGAATCAACCTAGACTGCGCACCAGCTTTCAGCATAATGATCACGCAGAGGAACGAAGAGTTGTGCTGGGCTATACCTTGAACAGACATATGGCGTCCTTGACAGCAATCGCTTTTGTTATTCACGCATAGCATCGATATGGTCCCTTGTCCAACCACGAAATATACTATGTACTCAAGAACCTAAAGTAGACATTATCGCTTGTGTTGGTGTTGGAATAAGGTGCTTCTATAGCCCTTGATATACAATTGGGTATCCGAACAATTTCAAGGAAAAAGAGCAGTCGCAGTATGTACTCCCATGAGCCTAGACTCCCAAAACACCACCTCTTTCTGCAGAGACCCTACAAATATGTACATGAAGAATGAAAGAGAGAAGAGAAAAAGTGAGAGCTAATGTGGATATGGCTCTAGCACTGGTTCTCCTGAATGTCGGGGTAGAACCAGGCTGCCAACGCGATGATGATATAGCTTGCCATGAGCAAGATGCCTTCGAGCCAGTCTGCGTACTGTTAGTAAGCTAAATGGGTGAGGAGTTCGGCTGTAAAACTTACGTGACTTGCCGTCCTGAATGAGGTAGTTGACGAGCAATACTGAGACGAACAGCGTGGCGATTTGGAAGGTGTCGAAGTAAAGGGTCATGCAGTCTTTGCCCAAAATCCAACCCAAGATGACAATAAGAGGGAAAACGAGGAGAGCGATTTGCATACTGGAGCCGACAGCGACACCAATGGAGAGGTCCATCTTGTCCTTGATGGCGACAGTGACCGCAGTAGCGTGCTCGGCAGCGTTACCGACAATGGGTAGCAGAATCAAACCAACGAATGTTGTAGATACGCCACCGGTAGCGGTGAGACCATCGATACTGGAGACCATGAATTCGGAGCAGAAAGCAACGAGAGTAGTGGAGATTGCGAGAGTGATGAGGGCGCCAATAACGGAAAGCGATGGTGTTTCGAACTCCTCTTCTTCCTCATCGTCATCTGACCCGTCGGGGCTCTTGAAGAGCGACTTCATATTGACACCACCTCCAGAAGCTGCAGCAGTGCCAGCGCCAATGGCTGCGATACCACGCGATGCGTCGCCCTCTTCCTTCTTGCCAGACTTGCGCTTAGGAACCTTTTGACTGGGCTCATTGTACATGGTGGCGTGGGTCTTCAACTGGAATCCAAGGTAGCAAGCGTAGACCAAGAGGAGGATAACGGCTGTTCCGTGAGACAACTCCTGGTTCCTGACGGCATCTGCAGCACCGTTTTGTGCGACTGAGTCATCCTCGGCAATGGTGTTGTGGAACACAGTTGGGATGATCAGCGATGCGATACAAAGAGCAAGCAGCGACGCTGCAGTCTGTGCGACTGTGACGTTGAAGAATTGTTCCAGACGGTTGATCCCTCCAAGGAAGAACGACATGCCCAAAACCAACAGCAGATTCGACAACATGCTGCCAATAAGCGAGGTTTTGACGATGGTGATCTCATTCTTAAGTAGGGCTTGGACGGAGACGATCAATTCCACGGCGTTTCCAAAGGTAGCGTTCAACAGTCCACCAAGAGTCTCACCAACTCGAATGGCCAGCTCCTCGGTCGCGTTACTCAGCATTGCCGCGAGCGGGATGATGGCGATGAAGTTGATGATGAAAACCGGGACGGGCTTTAGCCTGGCATAATAGACCGCGAAACCGACGGGTACCATGATGAGGAGCACGTTGATCCACGCACCAAAGAGAACGAACTTGATCTGTGCGCCAACCGGAATCTTCCTCTTGAACGCCTTCTTCTTACGTTCCTCCAACGAAAGTTCATCAGCCTCTGGATGCTCGGCCTCATCGTTCTCGGCATCCTGATGGTCTTTGCGGAAGATGCCCTTGAACCTAGCTCGTCGGGTGGGACCAACATTGCTTTCTTGGTTGGAAGGCACGATTGTGCTGTCGTCTGATGCCTTGTGCGCACCGTTCAAATCAGACGTCAAGTCCTTCTCGGTTGTCGAGTCTGGAAAAGTCGTAGATGCGCTGCCGTATGTTGGCGAAGATGCGGAGGGCTCGGTGTTGTGGTGGTCAGGCATGCCAAACTCCTTTCCGGCTTCCCTGCTTTCTAGCCGTCTTTGCTCCTCGATAGCGGGAGTAGCATGTGTTTCGGATCGCGTTCTGTATACTGCGTTCTCTTCATCTAGATTAATGTCTCGCGACCGTTGTCGGGCGAACGGATTATAGTTGGCTGTGCCATTTCCACCATGTTGCGATGCGACGCGATGAGCCTGCCTTCGTACAGTATCTAAGTTCATCGTTAGAGGGAGTTTGATGTTTGGCAGGACGTGTCAAGTTGTTGGGTGATTAAGACTTTACGTGATCTCGATGCCTCTGAGATGTGGATCCACTTACGCATTGATCTACTTTCGCGGCAGCTGGGCCGTCTTTTTCCACTTAATGGTGGGTGGAGGTTTGGTCCAATCGAGAGTCGCGCTCAAGTGCGACTTTCAGGTCGGCGTGTGTAGTCGTTACTCGGAACGAGGTGCTTGTGCTTCGGAACAAGTAGCTGGGGGCCGAAAACCGTTGAAATGGGGGCGAAGAACTATGTGGGCTAACAAGCGCGTAAGTTGTTGTGCCTGAGGCAACCGGTGAGAGATAGACGCGAGATGATGCTCGCACTCGGGGTCGGGAGATTGTAGGCGATGTGATTGCTTGTGAAAGAAGGACCGGTGAAATGAATGAAGAAAGGGAGAAGGGCCACAAGGTAATTAAACCTGTTAACAGGAGGCCAGCGCACGCACTCGTCAGTAGATGTGGCTGTTGTGCACTTCGCACGAATGAGGGACGCGTCGAATGCTCCAGCCACAGTTGAATGGGGGCGACTAACAAAGCTAATGGCGATTGTCAAAGGCTGTGTTCAGTAGCGCGCGCATGCAAACACAAATCACTGCATTCGGAAACCAGTCGATTGTTCCGCAGAACAGAGATATGCGAAGCTTCACGTCATGATAGTCAAGCCTTGTCACATAGAACCAAGATGCACTCAAGGTACTTGGCTAGGGGCTTAGGCTAAGAGGCGGGCGTAGAGGCGGTCTGGGCATGACGATGCGCCTAGACTGCGAAACGCTTAATTGGTCGTCGTCGGCAATTAACGAGCTGCAGGCCTGGCATTGCGATTCTTGATCCGGGGAAGCAGATGATGGCTTGAGCCTTCCTTGCTTTCGACTCATGAATGCATGGTCCACGTTGGAGGCTTCACCCCTTGTCCTACCACCACGTGTGCTACGCTGATCTTACTGCTGCAGTCTTAGGAGTGATTTACGTGTACACCGTAAGCGTACAACGCTTGGCTTTTGTCTGCTTGCGCGCCGTTGCCCCCGTTGCACGGCTGAGACAAGAATGGCACGCCAACAGAGGCGCGAATTCGTCAACCCTTCGACTACGGATCATGCACAGGACTTGCTGAGAATACACCCCCTAGTCTGCATCAAATGATTTCAACGATTCTTGCTTTTTCCCCTGTCGGTTACCCAACTAGGCAGGTTCCGCAAATGTCATGGATGACGGCGGGCTCAGAGCAAAAGAAATGCCGGGCCGTTGTCGTAGCATTGGTGCGTAACCGCCGAGTGCATGCCGCGTCGACGTACGTGGCGGCACGCTGCGACAACTTGATTCGTGGCGTAACATTTCGAATGGGAGTTTTCCCTCTACGTGCCGCTCGATTCTGGTGTAAGTCGTGATTGGGGATTTGAAGTCGGGTGCGTCTGCCGTTGTTCCTGCAGCCATAGGATCTATGCAGCCCGTACGATGACGTATGGGCTGAGGTTTGGACGATGCACTCACAGTACATGATCAAGAAGCACGTCGCATGTCGATACTCGCAGGCATATGGTCCACCGATATTGTTCAGCATTAATAATGTCTAGTATACAGTGTTTGTTCCCTTCCCACTCGAGATATCGATAACCATAGCCCTCAAACGCCATGCTGCTACAAACTACACGACCTTGTCGCTCCCTCCTCTTGAGACTGTTCTTTTCAACAACATAATCTACGGGCCTTGAACCTTGTTGTCGCCCTTGATCACATCCGCATAGGTCGGTGGCGGCCCTTCGGGCTGGCTCGAGCTGCCCTCGCCGCCTTGCGGTGCAGGTGCAGTCGCAGGCGAAGTGCCCTTGGAGGCTTTGTGTCCCTTTGGCTGCGCAAAACTGTTTGTCACGCCACTCTGCTGTCCGGGGAACTGTCCGTTGCTTGGCTGGCTACCCACGGTGCCATAGTTCGCCTGTCGTCCAGCCGGTTGCTCATGTGTGATAACATAGTATGTTGTTCGGCCGTCGCTAGTTGTACCGTTCTCGCGGTCGGGCACTTGATGGTATGCGTCGTACGGGTCCGGGTTTTGCAGGATCACGTACCAGGCGTGCAGGAGACCCGGCAGGAAACCAAGACAGCAGAGCGCGAGGTTGATAAGAGAGTCGGCGCTGCAGAGTCCTTTCTTGACCCAGACGCCTACCGGTGGGAACTGGTCAACGTGTCAGTACTTGGAGCCGTGGAGCTGTGGGTCGCAGATGAACAGCTGGTGACTGCCACAGCTGAGGGGGCGTCAACGTACTAGGACGCTCAAGAGCATCAGAAAGCAGTCGGATCCGCACATGATGACGGTGATATACGAAGTAAATTTCTGAGATAGTCGAGGCGCTGTAGGTGCAAGGTTGCAGTTGTTATGCTGGCGTGGTGGTGTCGCCTGAGCGAGAGGTACCAGTCGCTTGACCTGATGACGCACCGTGTGGCTGAGCTGTGGCGCATGCAGCCGAGGAACATGGAATACGAAACACGGGACACTGCGGCCACGCCGGTGCTAGCTAACGTATAGAGCATGTGTCTGTAGTCCGAAATCTTTCTATGCCGTTCTTTGTTCTCTCAGTCACATCGATCAAGTGGCGTTGTCGTGTGATTATCTGTCAGGTCCACAGGACAGCTTTTTATTCCTGGAATTTTATATTCGTTGTCTACGTTAACTGTGCTGACACATGACCTATCTGCTACAGCTAGTTGCCATTTTATACCAAGAGGAGCAAACCCAAACTTTCTCTATGTCCCACATTGGAGGCCGGGGATCGTCAACTAGCATGCAAACCTTACAGCGCATCTTGTATCGAACATGTCTATCAACCCCGCTCCAAGATTTTAGCACTTGCCACATACCGAAAGAGTTTTTATAGTTGTCCAAGAAATTGCTAGAGCAGAATAGGCCCTGTTGCTGACATCGCTTGGTTTCAAGCGCCTAGTATCGAACAGATACTTACTGTATGCACAACTGCACAGTCTTGCTAGATCGCGCTGTCAAACCACGACCCACAAGGGTAAAGCGAAAAAGAGGATCAAGCAATAGAGAAACAAGATTTGAAGACGTAAGGATCATGCTTGGTTGGTGACGAAGAATATGGCGACGAAGCGAGGAAAAGATATGTTCCAAGGCGAATCAATGCGCCAACTGTGCAGGAACGAAAATCAAATGAGATTAATATAAATATCGGTGAAGATGACAAGAACGCAGTACGTCGGGAGTAGAAAATGAGGAGAAAAGGACATGATGTGCAGTCTGTCAAATGAACACAGAGCATTAAATGACGCCATACCCATAAGACACCCATCCAGACTCATGGAAGCGTATTGTAAATCAGAAAATGAGGCCGCAATTATTTTGCGCCTGTTGATATAAGAATGTAATCGCAAGACAACAAATGACGGAGTTAGAAAATTCTCAACATGTGGACATGTTGAGACCAACGGATGCTCCCGACTCACAAGGAGATCGTTGGCCGAGGTGAAGATACTGAGGCACGTTCCAAGTCGGCGGATCGGAAGTCGCAATGATCGGTACCCATGTGTCAAAAGTACAGAGCTCAGTGAGCAGTGGATGTGCCGACGTACGTTTAGCTGTTCAACGGCGACTGTGCCTAGTAAGAATCTGTGAAGCAACCGAAGAATATTGAAGGGATAGAAAGAAGCCTACCTATATGCGGCGTCTACCTGAGAGCGCCTCTTCCGTTTGCTGTGATCCTCTTGCTGCCGCAAACGCTCATTCTCTGCATCTTCATAGCTCCTCTTCCGGGAGAAGGAGCTGTCGCCTCGATCAAGTGAGGGTACAGTTGGTGTGTCCTGCTGCGTTCCGCTGCTAGGGTTTTCAGGTTCAAAATCAGACCCTGCCATGGTACGATTGCTTCCTTCGGAGGGTGCTGGACTGCCCCTGGAGTCATCAAGGCTATGACCACTACGTTGAGGTGCATTCCAAGCATCGTAGTGCTGTTCTTCAGGAGGTGGCGGTGGCGGATGGGGCCTGAAGTTGGCGGAAGACGACAGAGAGCCATAAGGCCGAGGTGGAGGTCCATGTCCACTGTTACGGTGCCCTCCAAAAGATTGCGCACGCTGTGGTGGAAGAACAGACTCAGTGGTCTTTGCGGGGGAAGGGGCCAGCAATGGCTTCCCAGGAAGCGATGCCGGAGGCTTCGCATCAGAGGCTGATAACGGCAATGAGATGGGATCATTCGATGGCGGCTTGGGAGTTCCGGTCACGCCTAACTTGGCGAGAATGTCTTCCTGGCTTAGCTGTTGAGGAGAAGCTGTTTCAGATTTCATAGCAGCGGGTTTTGCGGCACCGTTGTTAGTAGCGAGTGCTTGCTCAAGGTTATCCATAATGTCCCACGTAGCATCGCGCATCTCTAGATCCTCATCTTGTCGTGTCTCATCGTATGATTCGTCGGGACGGTCTCGCTGCGCAATACAATCCTCTAATGAGACCAGGTTTGATCTCATTTCCTCGTCTGTAAACTCGACAAAGACTGGGTCGTCCTTGAGTATCTCCCATTCATCCGTCTGTCTAACGTTCAAGAAAGCCTCATGCGAGTTGTCAGCGGTAAAGTACATGGACACTGAATCTCCATTGTCCAGTTTCTCAGGCGTGGGTTTCAGAGCTTCTGCTTCAGCCTCGGCGAAAGTCGAGGGTAATGCACGTGTCACCTGCTTGGCGGGATGCCAGATAATGACACCGAGGCTCAACGCCGGATCGACAGGTTCATTGCTCTTGGGCCATATCGCACCATCAAAGTCGAAATCCCAATCATCCCAGGCAAGGTATAGTTGTGGCTTCTCGCTCGAACTTCCCTCACTTACGGCACTGGTTGACTGATTAGATGATGGAAGAGGATGAGCTGTATTGAGGTGAATAGTCGCCTGGGTTGGTGTGGCGTGAGGATCTGGCGCAGACTGAGCATGCTGTTGCGACCACGCTGAACTCTGGCCATAAGCCTGCTGGTTAGGGTTAGCAGCGTGATGATGGGGCTGGTAGCCTTGATAATGGCTCTGAGGTGGTGCATGGGGCTGCGCGGGAGGTTGGTTTGGAGGCTGCGAGTAGCCCGGATTTGACAAGTAGCCAGGTTGCGGCCACTGGTAATTAGGTTGTGCTTGTGGATATGAGGACTGTGAATAGTTGGACGCTTGCGGCGGCGGCTGACTATAACCTTGCGCAGAATAGTTTTGGTGCGCAGCAGATGCAGTATAACCTTGCTGTGGATAATTTGGGAGTGCTGCCTGTGTTTGTGAAAACGCTGGCTGTGGCGGTTGGTATTGATTGGGAAACTGGTTGGAGCCAAAAGGACCCTGAGGTTGCGCCGGTCCACGGTAACCTGGGGGAGGAGGATACCGGGTGATTATGGGATTCCCCTTTTTCTTTGGCGGCCTATGCATGTGTCAGGAGATGATACCACGGAGCTACAACCTGTAACTTCGCATTTTGCAAGATGCAAACTGAGGGTAAGTGGTAGGATAGAGGCGACCTACTGAACATGAGCCCTGTGGGGTGGACCGTTTGGCGGATAGGCCGCTCCTGACTGATACTGTCCGTATCCCGGCTGCTGTGCTGGCTGCTGTCCGTATTGATAGGGTGGCTGTTGTCCATATGGCTGACCGTTGGCATATGGTTGTTGCTGGAAAGGCGTCGCACCCGTCACGGGCCCGCTCCACGACATACCACCTAAAGCAATTTACCTGGTCGATGCACAAGACGCGCAAGACGAGCAATATCAGATCAGCACTAATGCGACCCGATGAATTGCTTGAAAATGGTGATGCAGTCGAACTCGATGTTGGCAAGAGATCTCGAAGTGCGAGCCGGCAAGGTGCGCGTCTCAAAATTTGGTCTGGTCGAGCGCACGAGCCAGGACGAAAGAGAAGCCCAAGCTCATAGAGGGGTCTGCAACTCAATATGCCCCGGTAACGCGTGAAAGTTGACTGTTTGAGGGCGAGACTATGACGTTGGGAAAGACGGAATTGAGTTGACGGAAGGGTGAAACAAGCCAGGCTGATGTGAGGAAAACCCTTGGAAGTTGCTATTGAGAGTACAACAGGATGCAGATGGCGAATTGGGAAGAGTGCAGAGGAGTATCCTCGGAACAACAGGGTCAAAATAGATGCAGCAGGAGCAGAGATGTGACAGGCAAAGAAATTGAGTGCTTAACCTATGTCTAAGTCTGACAGACGGACGTCGCGTTGAGATGAAGTTTGGAGCGTAGTCACGTTTTGCGCTCGGGCCAAGACATGTGCGGGATGCCGCCGCATTTCAGACCGACAGCACACATTGCCCCCCATTCCCATGTTGCTCGCGTTTGCGCCATCGCCCGTATTCCGACCCTCGATGCGCCCCCGAGGATGATTGTACGATATAGACATCTGTTAGCGACCAGTATAGACTCAATACCCTGAGCTGCGCCGCGGATGCTCCCACGCCCACG